CCTTTCCCAGATCACTCTTGACAGCTCTCTCAGGAGGAGTTGGCCGAGCCGGAAATATCCTGTCGGGCGCCGGTGCATCACGATCGGGGCCTGCTTCTGCTTTTTGGCTTTTCGGCATGCGAGTGCCATTATTACTTCCCTCTCGCGCAAAGTAATCCTAGCCCTCGGCTCTCGGCGGCACCCCCGAGAGTTTTTGTGATTGTTGAACCGAGAAGCCCATTCAAAGCAACTGCCTTAGCCACTGTTTACCCAGTTGCATTCCGTAATGTGCCATGTCAGCAATTTTACAGCCAATTAAATGTAATTAGGCAATAACAAATAAGCTCAGAAAAATTTAACCTACAATTAAAATAAAATTAATGATTTTTATGCATTTTACAGGGAACATGAACAATTTAATTGTGTTAAATGATGAATAATCGGAATCTTTTCTCAAAATTTAAAACAAAACAAAGATAATGATAACATTTCGGTGAAATCCTTTTAATTTTTATTTTTTAATAAACTTGAATATTGATTTTTAAATAAATTTAATGCATTAATAAAGTAAATATTTTGGTGTGAACCAATATTAAACTCGTTCTTAATTATAATTGACAATTGTTAGTATTGATATGAATAATATTTGCCGATCATTAGTGTTAAAACGCAATGTTTTGTGGTTAAAATAAAAAATTATTAATTGAATCGATTTAAATCAAATAATTGATAAAAATAATTATTCAAATGCATTATAACAATTTGTGTGTTGAAAAACGTCTTCAATGGTGTCGGAGATCAATAAGTGTGCAAAATGCACCCCTAAGGCACCCCTGAACCGTATTTGAGCGAGTTTACAAGTCAGTCTCGCGCACATGCAAATCGGCCTTGGGCTATTCTCTCCCTTCGGACGACGGCTGATTTAGTGCCAATTAATGACTGCTGCGGTGCTTGCTCACTTCGTTAGCCGCAAGAGAGAAAGTGTCACCCTGTCCAGCGGTGGGCGGCACCGATAATTTATGCACCGAGGCAAGGTGGGCCCGTCGCCGCCTTAATTAAACAGCAGGTCCTCCGGGAAAAGGAAAGACGTGAGGGCCGGGCGGGCGGGCGTCACTTTGGCCCAAGGTGAGACGACGGAGTCGGGATGGACAGAACGCCTTATTTCCCACGAGGCCTAAAATAGGAGTGGCCGAAATCCAGATTGTTTTGATTAATTAATAGAACACGGTTCTGTCTCTTGAAAAGCAAACGATGTCTTACAAGAATGTGAAAACAAATTTCCTAAAAGGACTGACGAATTTATTAACAATGGAATAGATTATTTATTAAATAAATTCTAAATGAAATTAAAAATTGCATAAAAATCGGTATAAATATCTTAAATAAAAATTTAAAATATTTTAATTTTCTTCTTTTTATAATTATCATAAAAATAGTTGTTTTAAATGTCCCATTTTTAAAGAGCTCTCATAAAATTGATTTTTTTTTATCTTTTTAATTAAAAAATGAATATTTCTTAAAAAGACTGACGAAATTGATAAGAAATGGTTAATTTTGAAAATTTTCACAGAAATTTGGTTCAATTATCAATGAAGCGTACGATCATTGATTGAGAATTTGCATCGCTATTCATCTAGAACGGAAGGCTGAATTTAGGTATAAGTGAAATGAAAGCTTTCACTGAGATTGATGACGAGAGCTTCCGGGAATTCAACAATATGAAGATTCCACCGGGGAGAGCCTTTCCGCGTTCCCGAACATTTTATTTTGGTTATGCAACCTGCTCGACAGTTATGCGATGCGGAACCAGAGGCAGCATAAATGCTAGGAGATCTCTGTGTATTCCGTAAATGATAAGTAAATAAAATTACATGTAATTGGAAACAATTAAATTGAAATGCAACAATCAATTGAAAATGATTCAGATTCTCAGAGTTGAACAATTGACTGTGAAAACCCTTCGCTTCTTTAAAGGGCGCCAAAGTGAAGTCTGAAGATCAAAAATTGGTAAACAAAATCCAAGTTTTTCAATCATCCAGGGAACCTGAGCATGAGCTGCTCATGAGCAAGGTTTGAGCAAATTTTGCTTATGAGCAGCGTTGAGCAAGGGTATATTGAGCATGAGCATTGAGCAGACAAAGTTGAGCACCCAAAAAAAGTGAGCATGCTCATGAGCAACACTAGTTGAGCAGATGAAAATGCTCATGCCCAGAAACTCTGCAATCATCTTTTGATTTCCAAAAGCGCAATTTTCTTTTCAGCTTTTGATTCGCAAGATTGCAAAGAATCCAAATTAGGCAACAAAAACTTGTAACTCTTCTGACGATTTCTGAACCTCAGAATTAACAAAAGTTTTTAATGGTTTAACAGGCTATTCAATAAAATGATTATCTGAGAGGTTAATAAAGCACCAGAAGATGAGAAGAGGCATAAGTATTTTTTTATTTTTTTTTTTGGATACTTTTACATCTTGGGGATCAAAAGCTGACTAGAAAAAGTATCGTCACTTTGGAAAATCTGAATTTAAGTTATTTGAAAATTTATTTCCAATCCATTTACGAACTTGGCCAAAAGAATTGTCTTGAACTCATTTATTTTTAAAGTATTTTAAAATATTTATTTCCCAATTTTCATAAATATCTGTTATAGTTGCAAAAGTCTCAAATTCTCCTCGTAGCTCAAAATGAAGAGCAAAAATTATTTGTAATTTTTCTTACACCAAATTATATTTCGTCTTTTATTAAGGCTAGAGATATGCAAAAGAAGATTAACAAGGTCAAAAGCTTGACGTAAACATTACAATGGTGGTGTAACAACTGCGAGGATAATTGCTCATTTGGGCTAGAACAGAAGTGGCGGAATAATCACATTACGCACGCAGCCGAAATTTCACAGAGAGGCAGACAGCGCGGCGCATTCATTACTGAACAGAGAGAACTCCATTTGGCCGGATCGATATCGCGTGAGGCCGAAATCAAGAGCCGCAGATTTGCATTCATTTTTCAACAGAAGAAGAAGAACGTCTTGGCCGGGAGATTTGCAGTGCAATCCGCCGAGCGCCCACTTCAATTTTTCCGGCCCGCTTTGAAGTCGGCGGGGAAAACGTCCGCATTTATTTGGAAAAAAGCAGCCTTACTTGTCGACACGGCGGACCGAGCGAGAGGATAAAGAACGGCTGCACCTTTTTTGCGGCGGCGGCGACGGCGGCGCCGAAATTCTCTGTTGTAACACGAAAGGGGATTTTCCTCTCTTGTTCTTTTGCAACTGACAGAAAAGTACAAGCGGGCAGATTGGTGGAAAAATCAGAGCGACCTATGCTTTGTTTCTTGGCAGGAAAAAAAACTCTTTTCGATCTGGGGATAAATAAACGCGCAGTTTTCTTCATTTCGGGGCGGACAAAAGCTTCTTGTTCTTAATGCCGCTCATTATTCTCCGCAGGTCCTTTTGTTTATTCGCCAAATAAAGCCGCTTTGCAGCTGAAGACTTTTTTGTTTTTATTTTGGCCAAATTGGAAAAAAATCCTGTTTCCCTTCTTGAATGAAAGTGGGTCTTGCAGTTTGTCCGATTATTACTACTCCAATTAATGTGTGGCGTGATTTATGTGCGGTTGACGTGGCCGTGTGAGTTAAATTGTTGGTGCAGCGCAAACCAAGTCAGCCGAGCTCGTTAAATGCAGCGCCAGATATATTAAACTCACATGCATCATCTGATTAATGCGCCGCAAATATCTCCACCTAACACGACGCGGTAATGGGATTTTAATTCGAAAAATTACCGAGAATGAAGAATTTTTATTGCTCTGCAGCGAATGTTCATTTTGCAAAATAAAAAAGAGACGATATATCTTGAAAAATGTCCATTTTTTTATACATTAATTTTTTCTACAGTAAAATTTAATAACGGAAAAAGATCATAATGGAGCACTAGATTTACAATAGTTTTTCCGTTAGAAAAATAAGCGATTTGTTCTGAAAGTTTTTTCTTCTATGCGGTTTCTTTTACAGCTTTTTATTTTCAAGGATTAAAATGAAAAGATTGGTAAAATATTTAAAGCATAATTATAAAATATTAAACGATTAATTAAATAGAAGATTTATAATTGTAAAAAAGGATTGTAATTTCATTTTTAGAAATTAATATATCAGGAACTCTTTTGTGTTGATTACTTTGGAAAAAAAATTATATCCTTTTTAATGCTCCCTGTCTCCACTTGTCTCTTTAAAAAGTAGCAAAAATAGTGATAAAGTTTATTTTAATTAAAATCAGCAGTTACTCTCACTAAGTCAGCAACTGCAAGTATAGCAATGAACCGATAAATTAAACTAGTAAAGAATATAAATTTATATTAACTTGACATATTAAAATATTAAATATTCATTAGTTGAAAATACAAACCTTTGCGTATTTATATTTTTACTCTTAAACTTTTCAAATTATGGTAAGTTTTTTCATTAAAGACAATCAGATTTAATTAAATGATTCAGAAAAAACTTTCTGATTAACAAGAAAAGTCGAAAATTGTTAATTATATAAATACAAATATAAGGTTATAACTTTTTAATGTCAAATATATAAACTTTTCCAACATAATATGATTAAATAATCACTTTTTTCTTCACCACTCTCACTTTTATAGACTAATAATCCGTAATGCTTCTATTCCTAAGTAAGAAGCATACTAAAAAAAGAAACTTTCATGATTGATGATAAAAAATACTTCTAGGTGATAAAAACTTGCATAAGCAAATCATGAATGTCGAGAAAGTACTCTTAAAACTATAGTGAAATGCAATCTAAACATTGCTCCTTAGAAAATCTATTTTGTTTCCACTTGCAATGGAACATGCGTCGTGTTTCCCACTCAGAACTAATGACGGAATCATTTGAAATTATAATCAGTTTGTGTGTAGGTCGACTTGAGTGAAGGATTGTAATGCGGCCTCAACTCGAGCTGTTTGGAAATCGAGCGAGCTGCAGAGGCGTTTGCATAAATTACTTTGGCTGAAAATATTATTACTCACCAGCACAGCAGCAACACACTGACCGCAGCAGTCTTTGAACTCGCGTCGGCCGGCCTGCAACAAAAACGATAAGCTTTACACAGAGAAAACTAGGGCTAAATGCATTTTGCGGGTTGATCTGCGTGGCGAGCGAGATAATGAGTTTTCGCCCCGCAGATCCGGCGGCGCAAAACTTGCCACTCGTGTTTGCGCTCCGTAATCAGCCAGGCCTTTTAAAACTCACGCTACATGTTGTAACAGTGGATGTATTTTTTTTTAAGTATTTGCAACACAAAAATTCATGACATATTTTTTTTCGTTTTTAAAAATAACCTCACGAAAAGCGGTTAATCTCAGTGTAGTTTTTTAACTTCATTTAAACAATTCAATAAGATTATTTATACAACTATTTTCATTAGTAAATTAATAATTAAATTTATGCATATAATATTATTAAGTTATTTAAATTATTTTCAATAATGATTAAATTCATTTTGAAAAGATCTAATGCCCCTGGAAATTTTGGGAACTAATTTGATATATTGGTGAAACATTCGCTAGCAAACGTCCAGAGCATTCGCGGCGTGCATTCGACCACTTCTTCCGGTGCGATGATTGGCAGTGGCAAAATAAAACAATTTTTCATATACTCGCGTCAGAGGAAATGTTTGAATATGAATAGTAAATTTATCACATGCATTGAAAATGTTTTAGAATTAAGTAATAAAATAATAAATAAAAATATTTTCAGCAGCGATTCAAAACTGCAAACAAATTTATATTTTCTATCAATCAAAGGGCAACTAATTGCCCATTATAAGATTATGAGAATCACAAGGTATTGTTTTTTAGGTTAATAACTCACGATTTTTATTTTAATTTGCTACTCTCTTATGCTTGTGTCCTTAGCTTTAAATTTAAAAATCAGCGCGTAGATGAGATGAAAAATTCAAAATTTCTTGATTGGAGGACCAAGAAGATTCTAGAAAACAGAAAACAATTTTCACAATAGGCAGTTTAAAATTATATAATTTACTAAAATTCACTCTAAAATTTAAAAGTTTATTCAGCTAAAAACATTGAAACTTCACATGGATATTGAAAATCGCATAAAAGTATTTATCAAATTATGATATTCTTAATACAATTATAAAATTTTAAGCTATTTTTGCAAAATGCAGAGTAAATTTTGAAATAATACAAGGCTCAAAATAAATTAAAAATATTACTCTAGTAATTGCACAACAAAAAAATGTTAAGGAGATTCAATTTGGTGTTCTTATACTTCTGTCAATAATGAAGGCTAAAATTTGGGATAAATTTAACTTCAACCCACTCCCACGTCTCCCATAATAGGATAGATTTTAGCAAAGAATGCATGATCATTTTAACTTTTCTTGGATCTTGAAGCATATTTTTATAATATTTTGCATTTTGTATTAGATATAATAAAAAATCGCGTTGAAAAACTGTCAACGTTTTTCGCAAGGTTTAATTTATGACCCTACTGAATCGCTGCAGTGGCAATTGCAGGAAAAGCAACAAAATATCATTTCCTTTTTCTTTTGTGAATAAAAAATTGCGCATTGCCATGGTCATTCATATATGGTTGACTGTCAATCAGTTTTTTGTTGCAACCAGTGTGCATCGAATTTCCAAATATCACTTTCTAGAATAATTACTGTAAATGACGCGGGAAGTACAGCATCCTATATAAAGGGAGAGTGGCCGAATCACCATACATTCAATTATGCAAACCCATTGCTTGACAAAAACTGAAGCAAAGATTATGCATATTACACTTGCGTTGGTGATGCTGGCACTGGTCGTGCAGGTGAGCAGAAGAAACTCATCCTCATCTAGAATTGTCTATAATTCTGAACAATGAAGGCTGCCGTTGGTGCTCTTCAGGACAAAGGCATCTACCTGAAAGTCAAACCCAATGATCGAACATTGCCTCCGGTCAACCAGAAGTTGAGCGCCTCCCAGTTAGCCCAACTGACCAAAGCCGACAAGCCCACGGTCGAAAACTTCAACCCTATCGTCCAACGTAAGCTTCATCTTTTTTTGGCCGAATTTCCACAATAAAATGAACAGCAATTGTCGCGGGATCGTCGTCGTTCTCCTCTGGTGTCGACAAACAAATCGTGGGCGGCTCTTTGGCCACCCTCGGACAATTCCCGTGGCAAACGCTACTCTACATTGACAAAGCCTGGCTCTGTGGAGGTTCTCTCATCCTCTCGGAATGGGTCATGACGGCTGCTCACTGCACGGGGTCAGTCACAAATGTTCTTATTGAGTAGAACGATTTTAAAAACACAGAACAATCAGGGCCAAATACGACATCATCCTGGGCACCATCAGCCAGAGCAACCTTTCATCTGGATACATGTGGCTCACCTCAACGGTCAACTACACCCATGAACTGTACGACCACATCTTCCTGGTTAATGACATCGCCCTCATCAAGCTCCCATATCCTGTTACTTTTACTGGTTATTATACATATAAGCGACCGTCAGCGACACTAGACAGTTTATATTCAACACGACTTTAATTAGCAAGCATCTCACCGGTGAAACTGCCGTCCATGGCCGACGCTACCAGAGACCTGACGGGTCTTCTGTTAACCGTCAGCGGCTTCGGCAGGACCGCGGATGGTAAGCATCAAGGATATGCCAAACTTATTTTAATCGTAAAACGTCATCAGGCTCCGCTTCCAGTACCGATCTGAAGTTTACTCGCTTGACAGCTGTTTCTAATGCGGTTTGCGCCTCCTATTACGGAAATAAGACTGTCGTTTCTTCGATCATTTGTACCAAACCAATTAGCACTTCCATTTGCCAAGTTTGTTCTGATTATACGGCTTTTTTGGTACTTAGAAAATTTCTATCGCAGGGTGACAGTGGCGGACCTTTGATATTAAATGATGCCGGTACTAACAACCTTTGGGTGCAGTTTGGCGTCGTCTCGTTTGTCTCCTCTAGAGGGTGCCTTGTAGGGTATTCAGGCTACTCCAGAGTGACTTCATACCTCGACTGGATGTCTACTAAAATTGCCGAAGGTTCTTCAAATTTTTCTTCTTAATACATTATTTCAATTGAACCAACTCATTGGATAGATTTGGTCAGGCCAGCAACAACCACGACTCAGCCAACTACAACCACGACTCGGCCAGCAACAACTACGACTCGGCTAACAACAACCACAACTCGGCCACCAACAACCACAACTCGGTCAACAACAACCACGACTCGGCCAACAACAACCACAACTCGGTCAACAACAACCACGACTCGGCCAACAACAACCACGACTCGGCCAACAACAACCACGACTCGGTCAACAACAACCACGACTCGGCCAACAACAACCACGACTCGGTCAACAACAACTACGACTCGGCCAACAACAACCACGACTCGGTCAACAATAACTACGACTCGGCCAACATCAACCACGACTCGTTCAACAACAACCACGACTCGGTCAACAACAACTACGACTCGGCCAACAACAACCACGATTCTACCAACAACAACTGCTCAAATTACTGCAGGCACCCCACCACCGTAGTAGTGAAAGGTCTTGACGGCAATTTCAATCAATTCTATTTGTATTATGTATAATGTTTTAGTAAAAAAAGAAATAATTAAATATTAAATTCGGCAGTAATCATGGTGATTTGAATTTAAAGTCGGATTTTTTTTTTCCTTGATGGGTCTTGCGAGTTGTTAATTGTAAGAAAAACATTATCCTGCTCCCCCCTCGATCGTGAAATTCTACCACAAATCGGCAGTAATAATTTGTATCATCTAAAGAATATTTCAATTAACTTCTGAATAGTATCCCAAACGCATCATTACTCACGTAACCCTCGTAAATTTAAATAAATTAAAATTTCAACCTGTTATGCTCACCAAATTGTAAATTAATTTACGCCAGTGAATGTTTATTTAATTTAAAGCCAGAGCTAAAATGTTTAAAAGAACAGTTGTGCCATGGGCTACTGAAACTATGAGAGATGAAAAAACTTCATTGTCATCAACTTATTGAAACAATATTAGATATGAATGAGTCAAAAGTAATTTTCCACACTTTGATTTAATTTTTTTGTTATCAATATTTTTTTTTAATGTTTTATGCCAAAGAATTTAATTTATTTATTATATTTGATATTTTTAATGATTTATTTCTAGTAATTTATAAAATCTATTTTTAAAGTTTGTATAATTTGAGTGATAAATAATTTGTGTCCTATAATTACTATTTTTTTTTATAACTATATATTTGTTGTTAACAATGTACTACTACAATCAAATGTACTTTTTAATCAGTAGTAAGTAGTGTGATGTAACAATGTGCACAAATAAACAACAACAATAATTATAAAATTTAAAGTTAATCATAATAATTTTTGAACGAAAAGGTCAGGATGAGACGACTGATATCATTAACAGTAATACTAGATTGAAAATTAATTTGTGATGCACTGACAAAGAATCAAAGGAGATTTTATTGAATTTTACATGAGAGCTAAATTTTGCACCCACGCTCATGAATTTGTGCTGCGAGCATCAACTTTCAGTATGCAATTTGATACACACACACAATAAGACCTAATCAAGCCGATAGCAACTCTTGACATTCCAGTCACGGCCGGATTCCCGGCAGCAACTACCTGCTCAAGATTCGCCTTGAGATGGAATTATTTCTGAATCAAAACCCCGTTTGGCTTTTCATCTTTGCGACGTTGACATTCGCGACCCCAAGGAAGTTGATGATGAAGGCAAACAAATTGCTCCCCTGCCAGGTTCGCTCAAAAGGCAACCACGCTTTGATTAACTCTTGCGAGAGCAATTTCAGTTCTCTCAAATCAACACTTGTTTGTTTCACATTTGGAGATATAAGTTTAAACTGAATTGGAAATAAATATAATTATGTGATTCCAATTACATTGTTCAAGTTTACAAACACTCACATTATATTCTCTATTCAGTCTTCAATTTTTTTTACCAAATAAATTTGAGAAATTTTTATTCCTTAGAGTTTTGAACAATATATAATCTAAATTAATTTAATTTGGCAATCTAGATCTTCATTGCTATAGACATTTTATTATTATTACTACAAGAAAAATCAGTGTTTCCAGGACATTTTATTATAAATTAAAAAAAAAAACCACTATACTGTATTCCTTGAATGCGATCCTTTAGAATTAAATGAAAAATTATTAAGAGGCGCACAATTTATGGTGGAGAAAACAAAATTTTCTATACAGATTATTAAAAAAGGGGGAAGCATTTTTTCATCTGCCTCTTTTGAGCCCTCCCAGAAACAGTCCCATTATAAAAGTCGTAGTTTTTATCAAAGCTTGTTTAGAAAAAAGACTTTTATTTCCTCAATTAACAAGTTATTTTTGAACGAGAAAATTCCTCTGCAAACAAAGAAAGAAGGGGCTTCCATTTTCCATATTTTCCGGATATTTTCCACCCCTTTCATCCCCAAATACAAATCACTTCTATCTGCAGCTTGCGCACTGCCCAATTGTTCTTTCACGCCCTTTGTTTCGAATCTCCTCAAAATAACTTGGGGAAAAGTAGGCATGAAAAATTCAGTCTGGCACCATTTTTCGGACGAGAGGCATTGTGTGTTTTTTGCTCCTTTTTCGCCGAGCCAGCGCACGGGTCAATTTATTATTCATGAAGCGGCGCGCTCTCATTCACGGACGCACTCGCGCACACAATCGCGTTTTTAATCTTTTGTGAGAGAGCAAATGCACGCGAGTCGTGAGCCGGAATATCACAAACGTGGATGCGCGTCTCGTCTCTTAGCTTGTCGGGCGATAATTGAAAGAGAGAGGATTGTTGTTGAAATGAAGCTCGTAGCCGGCGGAAATCGAAAAGGATCCGAAACCCACATTTCTCTTTTGAATGCAAAATTATTATTTAAATTTGTTAGCTGAATTAGAATTTAAAATTAAAATTATACTTTAATATTAAAATATATTTCATATTTCTTAAAAAATTATTTATAATTATAGAGAAGTGTAGTTTAAAAAGATTTGTACCAAAATTTCTTGAATACTAAAATAACTATTTTTTTCATTACTGTTGAAACTAAATAAATCTATGTAATTTTCATAAACTAAAACGTATATTTTCCTGCTAAATCATTCTAATTTAGGCACTGAATTTTGGATTTAAAGAAAATGAATTCCTATTCCAAATTAAAGCAAACTTAAGCGACCCAAATTTCATCCTAATGACCATTTTTACCCAACAAAGCTCAAAGTAAACACCAGAGGAAACTAACAAAACAAATTCAGCAAAAAAGGGGACTTATCTGCCCCTCGCCAGGCAGAAAGGAAAAAGGAAGCACTCTGGATTTCGAGCCAAGGCAAAAGACCCACTTTGGCGCAAAATGTAAACACGCGCGCGGAGGATGAGTTGTGAAAGTTTTAGAGTAAATACTGATGAGCCGGAATTATGACCCTCGCAACGACCCCGCGCTCTGTCACCGAGCCAAGCATTCTTTATGGGATTTTACGAGCCACTTTCTCCAACTCGCTGCCAATAAAATATATCTTTCGCTTTTCCCATTATTAAAATACTTCTCCGCCCGCGATTTTGGTCCAGTGAAGCACGATTTGATTTTCTCTTTTTAACGTCTCTCAAGAGGCTCTTCTCCGCATTTGCAGCAATAATAAAAAGCTCCCCCGTTTTGTAATCTAAACAAACTTGTGAAAGGGCTCTGGATTTATTTGCAAGACAAATGATGCAATTACCTTTTAGCGAGGAATCTGTTAACTTAAAGAGAGGATGAAACCACTCAAGTGCAGAAAAACCCCTCCACAAGGATCATTATAATAACCAGAAAATTGGCAAAAAAAAGTTTGATAAAAGTTTAATTACAGGTGGTTCCATCTATTTTAATATTATATACCGTGATTGCTAATTGATATATTTTGTCTGAGGTATTGAGTAAAATAATAAAAATCATCCCTTTTCTTATGTGAATGCACAAAAAGAAAAATCATCATAATGATGGGAAAGATATTTATTGTAAATTTATTTTCAAATGGTCGTAAAATATCATTTCATTGACCTTTGACCCTGGCAGCGTTCTTGAACTGCCTAGAGTTTTTTCAAAGACTTAAAAAATTTAAATTTTTTTAGAAACAATTAATTTAATTTGCAATTAAACCTGGCCATGACATTTAAGAGAAATGTTTTTAAATTCAAATTGTGTCTGTTGTTAAATTAAACATAAAAACGTTGTTAACCCCCTCGAGGATTAAACTAGGTTAGTGTTGAGCAGAAGGTCTGCCCGTCCGCTGTTCAGGTATTCAATCCCAAATCAGTCTAAATTACTGCGTAAAATCCTACCCTAATCCTAAGGCTGCCTCGCTCTCTCATGTCCTGAATAATGGAGCGTGCGGCCCGCATTAGCCTTTCGGACAAACATTGCGAAACCAATTAGACTGGTGGAGCGAAACGGACGAATTCCTCTGCGAATTGAAAGCGGCGGACGAAATGAAATAAAAAAAAAAAGAGGAGAGCCACTTGCGAGGGCGAATTCAAGAGGCTGCCGATGGAGTTTGGAAAATTTGATCCTCTCTGCGGCTCTGGCTTGGCATACCAACAAGTAAATCGTTGTTGCGTACCTGGGCAGAGTAATTATATCCGACGAGAGCGCAAAACACAAAGAGTCGCGCGCGCACAACCTTGGTTATTATTATAATAATAACGCCGCGCGCGCAGCTGGTCTCACGGGCCGCATGATATGCTCTCATGCGTGCCCTATTCTAATGAGCTACGTCGTCTTGCTCGCCCCGTTTTGCTGCTTCAGCAAAATAATACATATGTGCAGACGAAAAACGACTGTTAAATAAAAGGAAATTTAAAATGGAGTTAAACCTAAAGGATTAAAATCAATTCACAAATATTTCATGTCACGTTTTGTTAATTTGTTCTTTTAGAAAAAAATTGCTAATAAATTTTAAATATTTTTTATATAATACTTGTTTCAAATAAATTGAAATATTTAAAAAAATTTACTTTCAATGAACACCAAAATATGTATATTTATTTTATTGTTTTTAAATTTAATGTTATGAATAATCATTATTTTCAAAAATTGAATGTAAACAACGTATTTGTAACAATGTGGACAAATGAACAACAATAATAATAAAGGGATTCAATATTTCAAATAATTAGTTAGGCCTTCTCATCTCGACATTAGCAACTGTATTAATTTCATTAGAAAAATTATAAAACATTCAACTATAAATCCAAATTCTAGGCATCTATAGATTTTCTCAAACTCACAACCATTTGACTGACATGTTGAACTGATTAGTTGATTTTGGAATATGAAATATTGTGTTAAAAGAAAAATACCCTGTAATATCCTGTAATTAGCATAAATAACATGATATAAAAAAAGGAAAATTTTAACTTTAAAAATAAATTAATAAATAAAAATAAACATTAAATTATCGTTAAATCGATATCAAATATAAATAAATAACAAAACGATTACATTTAAAGCATTAAATTTAAATGTATTAAATAAAAATAAGCTGAGCAGATAATTTTCTTTAATATATTTGTATTCAAAAGCACTTTCCTGAATGAGACGGGCTGCTTTGCATAGTTCCTTTTTCCGACGCATTTTCATAATTTCCATCTTTCTCGTTTCAACGACGCCGAAACTTGATACTGAAGCGAGGAGGCACTTTGGAAACTGCGGCAAATGTGATAAAAGAAGAGCCTTTCTCTTTCCATAAAAGCATCGTTAAACGAGTTAAAAATAAAAAATGATTTGAAACTCTCTCAAGCCGAAAATAATTTCATTCCTCTCTGCCTGGAATAAAAGAGTTGAGGAAAAACTGCGCTTTCTAAAATAAGAACATTCACCTGCTCTCATTGTTGTCCTTTGGAGAGGCAATTCAAGTGGATAAACGCCGAGAGTTCATTGTTGGCTGGGACGACCGTCGTCGGACAATGTAATTTGCGCCGGTTCATTTGTTATTCATAAGGGGGTCGGATTATGTGGCCGCAATCTGTCTTCAGCGGGGATAAATATTTAAGCCAACGACCTTTTCCTAAGCACATCAACCATCTGCCGGAGCAGAAGGACGGATTTGGTTTTTTACATGTGCAAAGAAAAGCCATTTTGAACGCTCTCCGTGTGTGAACTCGAGCGGCGCGTTTTTCGCTCCAACTTTTCCACTTATTACTTGCAAAGTGCCCTTCTTTGACGGCGCGACTCAATATTCTGATGCGTGCGTCTTGTCATAGAAAGCTTCTTTAAATATCACATGCAAATCAGAAAGAAGAAAAAAACTGCGCAATACACCACGTACACGCTGCACTTGAGAGTGAAGAAGCAACTGCTGCTTTTCTCCGACACACACGGAAGCAAAATCGATGGTTTAGAAAGAGGAGCAGAACGTGGTTGAACTCAAAGAAAAATGCATATCCTTTGCAAATCCCACAGGTTGGCTTTGTTAAAAAGAACCTGTTTTTGTGAATTGTTAAAAAACAATAGAGAATAACAAACAAACAAATTCTAAAATATAAAAAAAATACTTGAGAGGATTTTTAGCTCATTATACAAGGCGAATAAAAAAAACTAAAATTTCTTAAACACTGAAAATAAAACTTTTCAATAGCCAATACGAGAAAGAAAGTTATTTTAGAAAATTCCCATGAGAAACAATTATAAATTAAGAAAGATCAGTTCTCTCAATGACTTAAATTTCTCCTTTCAACTGAAATCTACTAATCTAATGAAGAGTAAATTACCATCAAAATTAATCAGACAATTAATATTTTGCCTCAGCTTAAATTTCCTCTTGTTTGATTTTGTTGAACAGTCGCTCTTTATCTCCTTATTCATGTCTTCTTTCAGTTGGAAGCAACACGTGTTTCTCCGAGGCAAATATTCCGACCGCAAGAGTTTGTCCGGCTGCGGTGGCTACTCCACATGGATCTTTGTATGAACACCAAACAGCTGTTTATTTGATCAAAACATTTCCAATAGAGATCGGCCGAGCGAGTTCGAGTTAACTTGGCAATCAGCTCGTGCTTGTGTATTTCAGCCGCCGAGTCTTAATCTCATAATGGAGCGGACGCATCAAAGCCGCTTTTCTACCTCGTGGAAATTCTAAAATGCAGGCCTGGAGCTTACAAAGAAATAGGAAAGTTGCAAAGTCACATTTCCTCTGGGAATCGCATGCATTTATAAAACATGAAAAGAGTCATTTATAATTCAGGTTATTACAGATTTTACTTTTCAACCTTAATAAAGCAAATAGCAATCTGCGAGAAAATCTGTTCAATGAAACTCTTTGGGGAAAAAATCTAGATGATTTTTTAGCCGAAATAGGACATAAAAGGTTAAAAGAAATGCAAGTAGGAGAGTATTTTTTACATTGATTGTACTATCTTAAGGTTTTTATAGGTAAAAAAATTTGAATAATGTATTTTGAATACTTAGAAACTTATTTGATTAAATGTGTGAAATAGGTTGACTTTTTTATCTAATAAGTGAATGTAAATCGTTAATTTTTACTTAAAAATACTGTCTTCATAAGAAGATTTTAGATCAATATGTGGAAAAGGTGATCACCTATAATTCCCATCCAAAGTTCAAAGGAAGTTTCATCATTTTAGTGGCAATTGAAAAAGACAATTCAACTAATAATTGTGTTACAAAGGTCCTTCTGATTAACAAAATTCGAGCAATTGCTTCATTTTTGAAAAGTTTTTTAATAAAAAATTATTCTTTTCCAAGTCAAAATGAGCAAGGACGACTTGCCAAAATTTTCTTCATATTTTTTAAATAAATAATCAACAATTTATAGCAAAATTGGTCTGATGTCACATAATTATCTCAATAAGTCTCTTAAGCAATTAAGATTCAATTAATTTATATTATAATTATTAAATTGCATTAATTTTTTGTATCAAAAATAATTATTTTTCATAAAACAGTAATGAATTGCAAAAAAAGTTGTTAAAATACCACAAATTTAGGTCAGAACTGCTTTTTTCAGCACCTTTTTGTAATTAAGAGGCGAAATTCGCTCAAAATTCAATGGCTCGTCCCATCTATTGTAATTAGTGCAGGGTGATGGAGCATTCTAGAAAGTAATTAGTGGCGAAACTAGCAAAGCCAAAAACACAGCAGATGATCAAGTTATCCTGGCGTTTGCGCGAGTAATTAACGTCCCCATTAATAGCCGTAAAATGGAAACAGAACAAGGCTGGCCTAATAGAATTAGTCACAACTACAATGGTCTGGACCCAATTGAATAATTTTCCAACAAAGCGCATTTGTATATAAATGCAAAAAGCAATTATTGCGAGACGGGGGCACTTTGTTGTTTTTGCGGCCGATGTAAAAAAAAGGGGAAAGGCAGAGAAGCCAATTTAGCTCGGCTCTCATTTCCACGCGGATAAATCAAAGGCGTCTCTTTGTCAGACCCTTCTCTACTTGCAATTTACTTTTTGCTCTCTTCTCCCTTTGAATAAATTATTGTCATTTGAATAATTTTCTCGTTCTTTCTGTTTATCATTTCTTTGTGCAAAGGACGAAAGAAAAAGGTAAATACAAAACACGCTCCTCCAATCAGTCAATTTTCTCTTTGCTTTGGATGAAAAGTCAAGATAATCCGGCGCAGCCGATTCGTCTCTCGCTCCAATTTCGGCAACAGAAATTTCCAATCCGTCTGTCGGATTGGCAAAGAAGACGAATTGAAGATTTGCGAGCCGATTGATTGTCACATCAATGGCCTGTTTTCCGTCTCGTTCACGCCCGCCAGCCGAGGTCTCAATTCGATTTCCCGGCCGAGAATTTGACAGCCCGAAAGGGGCACTTACGTTCGCAGAAAACGGGTATTATTATTATTCTAAAATTGGATTATACGCGGGCAGAGAGACGCCTCCTCGCGCACTGCTGCGCTTCGATCTGCGGAGGAAATAGAAAAAAAAATATAGAAGCTGAAGAACGGCCAAAAAGCTGCTTCCGATTTTCTGAAAATGGATCGCAGAGAGGAGTCACTAAAATAAATTTCTTCAACATTTGATGCAAATTCGCAATGAAAAGTGAGTGCCAAAACTACAAGCTGTGGATGATGAATTGAAGAAATGAATTAAGTTTAAATTTTTATTCATGTTATAATAAAAAATTATTTAACTAAATTAAGGACCATAAAAATTAATCAAATTTCACAATCCTAAAAGTGTGACATCTCACTTGATCTCACCAAACTTTATCATAGAGTATGAAGAGCAATAAAAAATATGATGTATAATAATAACATTTAAATTATAAAATATTATTTATTAACCATTCAATAGATTATTTTTTATTCAAAATTTCAAAATTAAATTGATAATCGCATATGTATTCCAGTAAGAAATTGTGTTAATTCAATTATTGCCCATAAACAATCAAATTATGTAAATTTGTAGGCAGATCAAACCTAATTATTGAATTATAATGGAATCGAACGAAATGGAAACGCACACGTGCCCGAGTAATCTAATTTTGGCAGGGCATCAATGCCATCTGATTAGTGCACCCAGCAAATCATGCCGATTTGAGTCTCTGCGGTTATCGGCAGTAGAGCGGAGAAGCCACCCGACCGGCTCAGCGAGTGCACAATTGGAATCAATTTGCTAAATTATAATTAGCCGAGATGGATTTGCTGTGCCTGGCCGTAATTCCATAATCTACAACCCACTCCAAGCATTAGCAAGAGATCTGGATGAAAATAGAGGAAAGTTCCAAGTACACATTAGAAATTATGCTAATTAGCAGAGACAATTCTGGCGTTCGTCCAATTAGATTGAAATCTGTGGGTGGAAAATAAACAAAAATAAGTATTGACGCATGGACTGACGGGTGTGCGAAAAAAAGGTTTTGTCACTCGTTTGATATGAATGGTGCTTTTGAAATGTGTCGGTCCGAAATATAAACGCACGGTTTGATGGCCAGTGAGTTATGACGCAATAATTCAGCCGGCAACGTTTTGACAAATGCGAGGAAAAAAAGCAGATGCCTCGCCACGACGATCGCGCCTGCTTTATGGGGCGATCAGTCAAAAGCGCAATCTTTAATCAACACAAGGCCAAAAGAATCACCACTTTTTGTAGGTCAAGAAAATTTAATTTTGCCACAAACTGAATGCGAATTATAATGGTAGAAAATGCATTAATTAAAATATTAAACTTAATATTGAAATATAATGAGATGCATTTTTTTTTTAAATTTGAACTGTTAAATAACAAAGTAATTATTTCCTGAGAATACCAATGTTGTTTAAATGTATTAAAAAATTCGACAAAATTGTCAAAGTTTATGATTCTTACAAAATTAAATATTAAAAATTGCAAACAAAAACATTGATATTTGTGTATTTTGTTTCCGTATTTAATGCAAATCCAGTTGAAATTATTTGACAAAGTTAATCAGGTCATTGCATATAAAACAGCCACTTCGATATCGGCCATGGAAATGCTGTAAAGTTTTTGATTAAAAGCAGCCAATAGAAAGGATCTATTGCGTGGAACCCCAGGCTGGAGAAGATTGCAAATTAATTAGATTTGCACTTTGCGTGTGCGTTTATAGATCGATTCTCCTTCAAACTTGGTCAGCTTTACGAGTTCATCAAGCTGAAGTTAACACGAGGCCGGCTCTCGATTTATACATTTTAAATTGCAGCAGATTGCTTATGCATGCCCGCACAACAACAAGAACGTGCCAGTTGCATAACTCGAGTCTGCAAATTTCACCGGCTCACTAATTAATCAGGTCATATTATTTTTAGAGCTGTTCGTCAGCAAGTAATTTTACGAGCCGCTTGAAAAATCTCGTTGGCTCTTTCCACTTAATGATCGGCAGTGGATTTCCTGGCGCAAATCAATTCCTGAGAATCGCGCGACCAATCCAATTAGCAATTAAAAGAGGGAGCAGCCGACCCACACTCTTGACATTTTGAAATATCGGCCCAGTCGGACGAGGAGGAAAAAACCAGGGATTTTAATTTGACAGCAAGTTAATTAAGATTAAAAATAACTAGCGCTTCAAATTTTTGGTCTCCTAACAGTTTCCTTCTGATGATTCTGTTTTCTAGAGTTAAAATAAGTTATTCATAATCGAAACTTGTGTAAACTAGTCCTTCAGAAGAGGGAGGTAAATTAGTATATCAGAGCGAAAACTGTAAAAAACGTAAAAAACAAAGATTCGCCATAAATTATGAATTACTTCCATTTTCACAGTAACAATTTCTTTCACAAGTGAAACAAAATGAATAAAATTTAAAAACTATTAATTTTCTGTAAAAAGCTATCAGTATTATTTACAACTCGATTTTGAATTTTAAATGACACAATTACATTAATTTGACCAAGCAAAAATTATTTTTAAGCTCAAATATTTATCATTTTTAATAAAAAATACTATTTCTGGCTCTGCATGCTCCGGTACTGTAATTTTTTAAGACTATTAAGGCAGCAATTACGGTTTCATTCGGCCTAGGGGGCGCATTGCAACAAACACAGAAGCCTCCCTCACTTAATTTTCAGCCCAAGGCCGCGCTCATTTCCTGCTCTTTCCGCAGCCCGCTTTTAAACATAATGTCCCGAGCGGGTTGAAAGTAAACCATGTTTGCAGCCGGGGTGAGTAATTTAGAGCGGTGCTGGCAGGTTATGAATGAGAGTATCAAGGCAGCGAGCGAAAAATTCGCCGCGGCTAATGTGGATAAAATGCAGCAGCGAGCGGATAATTAAACGACCAGCAGCAGGTGAGTCAGTTTTTCGCAGGATAATGTTTTAATGGTACGTCTTTTGCCCGGGCAAACCTCGATTTGCGCTCAACGTGGTGAAAAAGCAGAGGCATTTTTTTTTTTATAATTTTACACAATTACAACGCACGCCTCTGGGCAGCTTCTGTGCTTTTTTCCGAGCAGAGGATATTTTGTAAATTTGTTTTCAGCTCTTCAATTAAATAGGGCCTCAATCAAATACAATTTTGTCGCTTAATATCATGCTGAATTCATTTCTGCTTTTATTTTTGAGGCGTGAAAATTTTCCATGAAACATGAAAAACAAGTAAGCAACTGTTTGTTTTAAAGCAGAATTTTTACTGAAAATTGTTAGGTTTTGTTTTGAACAACTTTTAGCTGCTTTCAAAACAATAACTGAGCGGGGAAAAAAACTAATTAAAACTTCAAGAAATTTTAACTTTAATTTAGAAATCTGAATTATTTGTATTTTCAGCTTTTTCTGTACTTTTTATGTATAGTTTTTTTGCTGTATTCAAGACTCATGACTGAATCGATTGGAGAATAAATAAAAAAATTAAAAAAAAAATAATAATAATAAAATCAAAGTAGATCAGAATTTATGTTTGGATGAAACTGGTCTTTCCGTTTAAAACTTAAAACTTGAGATCTACAGTTGAAGTTGAGAAATCTATTAATTTCGTTTAAACAAGTACAAAAACTTAATTGGGAGATAACAATTTTTGTAACGTCTGTTAGAATCTCTTTGCCTAGACAAACTAAAATTTCATATTGATAGGTATCTTGAACTCATTATACTCAGGTAAAAAAGTAATTTTATGTAGAATGAAAATAAATATTATTTTTATTTATTATAAACACATACCTTGTTAATTAATAATTAACAACGAAAACTGAGAAGAAAGCGGCGCTTTGCAAAATTCTCGACTACGAAATTAAAGCCCTTTTTTAAAAATAAACAAAAAATCACGCCTAGCAAATCATCGCGCCGCAGAAGGTCTAAAACTGAAAGAAAGCGGCGCCTTTCAAAATTATGGATTTTTCAATCTGACCTCATTTTTAAAAATTAAAAACAAAATCCGCTTTGAGACAGCTTTCAAAAATATTTTATGCATTTTTTATTTTCAATTAGACTTTTATTTCAATATCTCTGCAAAATAAGAGCGAGTTTAAGAATTTTGATAAAATAATTTTACTAACAAAAGTAAAAATTTGATATACTTGATTGAAATTTCGCGATATTTCAAAACAATAGTTTTCATTTTTTTTTACAAGAAGTGTGTCTAACGTCAGCAGGTCTCGCTTGAAGCCATTTCGGAGACAGAGTGAATAAGAAACTCTGGCTTTTAGTCACGCCGAGCGCCGTCCTTGGTCACATAAATTAGATTTGGGAGATAAATCGCGAGCTAATTCGCCCTTGCTCCGATTCTGATGAGTTCTTCTCGTTCATTGTTTATCTCGGCACGTCTTCGCAACGCCTCACGTCAAATTGGCCGGACTCGCCTAATGGCCGCTTCGCCAGCAAGTGAAATGTGGCACTCGTTGCTTTTTTCAGATGACAGCTCAAAATTTAATGAAGGGCGTCCATCTTTCTCCCCCAGCAAGAAGGAAAGGGAAAATAATCTCGTCAGGAAAAGGATAAATTTAAAGTTAATACTGGAAAATAGGAACTTTTAAGAAGAATGAAATTACGAATTTAAAAACAAAATTTTTTAAAAGAATTATATTTCGTTCACTTCAAATAAAACTATTATTTAACATTTTGCTAAACCTTAAAATTTTTTATAATATTTTTCATTTTTTTTCAGATGTGTAATTTTAAGTGAAGGAAAGATTAAAGGATTCAATTAATTTTGAACTCTCAGTCTACATGGTAATCAAATGGATTTATTTCAAAAGACGCCAAAGTTTTACCGTCGCAAAAAAACTTTGGGCAGAAAACATAGCGAGCCTTCAAACGCCGGAGCTTTTCATTTCTAAAAAAAAAAACTTTTTCCACCGCGCGTCTAACAACATTTTTACAAGTTCAACTCGCTTGGGCAAACACCAGAGGCGAACAACTTCTTTTTGCGGGCATACACAATTCAAACGAAACTTGCCCATTAAGAAGGAAGGACTTTATTCTTCTTTTATGTAAAAAGGCGGAGGTAAACTTCAAACGAAATAAGTGATGAGTTGAAATATATGAAAACGATTCGGCGGTTTTAAAAAATATCCTCGGCCGAGAAAAGTGGAAAAGGCTGCAGGCAGGTATGATAATAGCGGAAAGCTTTTGCTCGCTAAAAGGTACGGAAAGTAAATGGCGGTGTCTCTTGGTCGCCAAATTGCCCCGGTGCGCGTAAAACAATGAGATGCATGAATATGCAGGGCGCAGTTTACGGCCCGCCCGAGAGAGAGATGCGTGGGCGCGAATTAGCCGGCTGAGCTTGATGGCAATTATCGCGTAATGAGCCCGACGCCGCCGCAAGATTAAAAAAGTCCTCTATTTCCATCGAAGCTCCATCGATTTCTGATAATTGGAACACGAGTAATTCTTGTAGACTGGTGGAAAAGTTTGTTTTAATTTGCTTCAACAGTCATTCTGGCTTTGCAAAGATTGAAATTGTTATGAAGGCTCTTATTTCAAATCATTCAAATTTCAATTAAAATTTTTACACCATGCATTTTTTATGTTTTTGACTATAACTAAGCAAATCCGCTGTTTTCAATAGAATTGTGTAAAAAAACAATTGAAAAAAAAATTTATTGGAAACAGTTATAATGAACGCATTTTTTTTTTTTTTTTTTAATGAAAATTTCCATCAAACTGTTTCAATTTTCAATAATCTTTAATCGTTTATAAATTTTTAACTGCACAACATGAAAATAGAATATCTCCTAACTAGAAAAATTGTGAATTTCATAACATTTTTTTTTACTGCTGGCAGATGTTATTCTTTTTGTTAACTAACCACAGTGTTTTGTTTGGTTTAGTGTAATTGGTGATTACACTGTCTTTGGGCAGAAAAGTGTACTTTTAGGCAAAATCGATCTACATTCGAGTAAACACGCATGCAGCACACGAACGG